ATGGGGATTCATGGCTTTAGCAGTCTGCCTTAATTCTTAAATGTCTCATAAAGTTTGGGATTTTGGGAACTTTTACTGTTAGTTTGACTAAAGCTAAGCTCTTCACAAGAAGCTCATTCCTCTTTAAGTCTGAAAACTGTTCAGTGAGAAAAAGATTAGAAACAGATGAGGAGCGAAAGATTCAACAGAGAGAGAGAGAGAGAGACGAGCCTGCAGCCAAACACACCTCTGAACTGGATTATGTGTGTGTGTGTGTGTGTGTGTGTGTGTGTGTGTGTGTGTGTGTGTGTGTGTGTGTGTGTGTGTGTGTGTGTGTGTGTGTGTGTGTGTGTGTGTGTGTGTGTGTGTGTGTGTCTTATTGCGTGGATTTGTGGGTGGGTGGGTGTGCAGCATCCAGGGTGGGATCACTTTTTGCTGTTGGAAAAAGCCCTGCAACTCCCAGGAACGAATGACTCACACACTTAAACACATACATACACACACACACACACACACACACACACACACACACACACACACACACACACACATACTTAATACATGTAATCTAGAACACACACACACACACATATACATACACACACACTAAAAAGACTACAAAAGCTCTGATCAGTCCAATAATGAAAAACAAGTTTCTCGTAAGTTTCTGGTTTGTGTTAGCGTGTTAGCTAGTTAGCTTGTGTTAGCATATGTTAGCATATTACCGTGGTAGCATCCAACACTCATTGTAAAATAAGTGTCCTGAAGCTACCCTTATATGCAGGAAGATTTAACTCTGTAGAGATCATGAGGTTTGTGTGTGTGAGTGTGTGTGTGTATTTGGTGTGTACTTGTGTGTGTGTGTGTGTGTGTTTCCTACAAGGTCACGGAGGACAGGAAACAGAACATGTAAGGTTTTTTTTTTTTTACACCATAAATCCATAAATCCTTCAATAAATTGTCATAAATTCTCGTGGCTTGCTAGTTTTAAACCCGTTTCACATTTAAAGCTCCATCAGGGAATGTTCTTCAGAATGATAAAACCGGTTGCTAGGCAATGTCTATAGCTTAATAACAACAATAGACAATAGAGAGTACATAAATAATATAAATGTAAGTACTAGTGATAAGAAAGAAAACAGCAGAAGGTGGTTAAAGCTGTAAGGTAATACAGTTTAAAGGAATTAATTCAGAGATTAAAAAAGTCAACAAGATGAAAACAATATAAAAATAGAGGAGAAGAAGATGACGAGGACATCACATGACAGGAAATAAAAGCGTCAGGCGCTGCACATCCGTCCTGTCTCTATGACAACAGTCTGTTAACAACAGTCGCTGTATGGCCGACACTGCTCCACTGCTTTTTAATGCATGTTTTTTTTTATTAGAGATCATTTTCAGATCAGCTGATCAAACAGGGTGCAAAGAGGATGTGGGTACAAGACATTATCCATAGGCGGCAAAAATACAGGGATTATCATACATTTGGAAAAGAACGCCTGTGACGTCGACAAGGTAACGTCGGTGTTTGGCACCTGCAGGCCAACTCCGGAACGACAACCCGCTTGGTATATATTTTCTTTTCTACATTCGTGATATCCGTGATATAAGTTTGATTCACTTATCAAATCTCTGAACTGTATCCACTCCCAAACGTTGTCACTGGCTGGAGGAAACTCACCAGCTCCCCGCCTAGAAACGTCCCGGGTCGACCAAAACAAACCAACGCGTGAAAATCCAGTCAGAGCACAGGCTCTCTGCAGACACAGTCCCCAGCACACATGTATGGAAGCCCAGAAGGGATGAGTGAGCAGCTTTACTTTTGTATAAAGTCTGTAATTTATCTTTTTGGAAAATGCTGCAGACGCCTTTGTGCAGGTGAAATGCAAAAATAAAAATGTGGTATGTAAAATCATGATTACTTAAAGACACACTCAGATCTCCTCTCAGTGCAGACGTAGATAATCGGTGTTTGATCGACACTTTCTCTCCCTCCTGTTGATTTGATTGCATCTGCTCTGGCGGCTCAACCTGTCAGCAGTAGAATACAAAGAATTCCCTGACGTTATTTTATTTACAGCCAACATACCCAACATGTAATAAGCGAGAGTCACTTAAATACCTTTAAAGGGAGGGCAGAGTCTTTGGTGTTAATTAAAGCCTTCACATAATGCAGGTAGACATTACTCTGCAGAGTTTGTTAGCATCACTTGGACTTACTGGAGCTCACTGAGGTTTCCTTATAAATGTCAAATTAGTATTTCCCCTCCTTTATTTGAAGATTGTTTTGAGGGTTTTATTCCTTTTAATTAGAGAAAAGGACTGGGGTGAGAGAAAGGGGAATGACATTGGGGAAAGTTCCCAGGGTCGGAGTTGAAGCCTGGGCCGCCCCCTTCAAGGACTATAGCCTCTGTATGGGGCGTGCAATATCACATCTAGGCTACTGATACCCTAAGTCGAGCATAGGACCTGGAGTATTGGGGGTCCCACCTTAAAACATTAGTTTTTCACTGCAAAGTAAATTCTTCTGAGAGGAATTCCAGGTAAACAGAAAAAAAAACAACTACAACAGACGTCCTGTTAAAAAGTGTCTTGTTAGTATTTTCAGTTTTTTCAAGTTGTTATTCTGAACTTTTTGCAGCCAATGTTTGAGATAAATTATAAAAATGTTTTAATTTGGGGCTCGCTGGTGGCGCAGTGGTTAGGGCGCGCGTCCCATGTGTTGAGACTCTCGTCTTGAGCGGTAGGCCCTTTCCGCATGTCATTCCCCGCTCTCTCTCCCTGGTTTCCGACTCTATCCACTGTCCTCTCTCTGCATTAAAGGCACAAAAAGCCCACCCCAAAAAAAGAAAATGTTTTAATTTGGTATAAAAGAGCGTGACAGACGGTGTGACACTTTCTATACTTCCATCCGACGCCCCACATTTTTACATGTGGACGCAGAAATAAAACTGTATAGATATAGACAGTCTCCTGGGTGCGATGATGAAAAGTGTTTGGGAATGACTGAAGATGGAGTTCATTGGTATTTATGTTTCTTTCTTTCTGTCTCTTTTCACTAAATGTTCAACATTAGAAAACCTTCAGACAGTCATGATATGAGCGACTCTGCACACTGTTTGTTTACAGTTTGCATGCGCTGACCAGCAGATACCAGCAGGGGGAGCTGTGGTCAAACCTTAATCCCTGTGATATATAAATGGATTGTTATCACACTTAAAAGTCTACTTCTGTAAATACTCACGCTGATATCTTTACTGAAATCATTTCTACTTTACATGAAGTCATCCTTTGAATATTCATATTTTAGAGACACTTAGTTATTTTATGGAAAAAATTTGGATATTTTCATGCGTCAGCAGTCAGTGTAAAGACCGCTGTAACAAATATTTAGATATTTTTATCCAGTGGAAATTCTTTAAACAACCTATAGAAAATAACAACAATGTTTGTAATTATAATTATAACTTTTATTTATATAGCTTTGCTGCCTTCTGTCCCCCACGGCCTCCTGCTGGCGTTTCATGTCTCTTTTCGACTCCCTCACTTTCCAATTGAGGCAAGAAGGCCCAAAAAAAACAACAACAGATGTTTACAAAGTGCTTAGACGGAAAAAGCAAAGACAGAAATACAACAGAATAAGCACCAACAGTCAGATTAAGAAGAGAGGAATCTACAAAATTCAAACAAAAGACGATTACAAAATGTGAAAGCAAAAGAAGAAAAAGAAGGTCAATGTTGAGTAAAATAAAGGTCAGAGTTCAAAGAAGTGGTGGATTAATCCTCTCTCTCTCTCCCTCTCTGTCTCTCCTTCTCTCTCTCTCCTCTGTCTCTGTCTCTGTCTCTCTCTCTCTCTCTCTCTCTCTCTCCCTCTCTCTCCCTCTCTCTCTCCTCTCTCTCTCTCTTCCTCTCTCTCTCCCTCTCTCTCCTCTCTCTCTCTCTCTCTCTCTCCTCTGTCTCTGTCTCCCCCTGTCTCTCTCCTCCGTCTCTCCCTCTCTTCCTCTCTCTCCCTCTCTCTCTCTCTCTCTCTCTCTCTGTCTCTGTCTCTGTCTCTGTCTCTCTCTCTCTCTCTCTCTCTCTCCCTCTCTCTCTCTCTCTCTCTCTCTCTGCTCTGTCTCTGTCTCCCCCTGTCTCTCTCCTCTGTCTCTCCCTCTCTCTCCCTCTCTCTCTCCTCTCTCTCTCTCTCTCTCTCTCTTCTCTCTCTCTCTCTTCTCTCTCTCCCTCTTTCTCTCTCTCTCTCTCTCTCACCGTCCTTCAGGTGGAGCCTTCAGAAGAAATCGTCCTCCTTCCCTCTCTCTCCTGACAGCTGGTCCCTCAGAGGGGTAAGAACCCGAGTCATATTAATCAAAGAAAACTTTATAGATATCATTTCATGGATAGTATAAAGTGGAGAATAATCTCCCACTATCTCAGAGTTTAAATCAACAATATGTTTCTTTTCCACCTTTAAACAGTCATTTCAGAGGTTGATTTAATAACACAATAACTTTCACCAGGGAGGGGCGAAGACTGAACATGACACATACAGTAAATAAAAATGCAACACTGAAAGCTCGCTGGAGTATTTTTAAAATGATAAAAAAATAACTTTCTTTAAGTGAAGCACTGGTTCAGACTTGAGATCTTTCTGGACCAAAGTGTTGGACCAACAGATCATCCCATCAGGCCTCTGGAGAACCCGGGACCTTAAGGGATCTAAAATTATCACCAAGATGAAGAAACAACTCTCTGGTAGTAGAAAATGTTCTTTCAACAGAGAGCGTGTTTCCTTATTACCTGACTGAAATAGATTTTATAAAACCAGAGTTTATGATCTCTGTGTGTTTTTAGCGCTGGTGTCTCCGTGTCTCCTGTCCTGCAGCTCCTAATAATAGACGGCCTGTTTCCCCTGACGACCGTCACTTCCTGTTTGTCCAATGGGAACTGAGTGGACACACACACACACACACACACACACACACACACACACACACACACACACATACATTGTGAAGGTTCCTCTTCCTGAGGGTCTGTAGATCCACTCAGATAGGAGGGGAAGCTGAGGAGGTTAAGACTGTGACAGAGGAGGAGGACAAGAGAGGAGGGCAACGGTCAGGTCAAGGTAGAAAACAGGAGCAGAAGAAAAGAAGGGAGAAAAAGAGTCTGACTGAAACTGGAGGAGGAAGAGAAGAAGAAGACGAGGAGGAGAGCACGGTGTGGAGTTTAGAAAAAAGACAGGAGGAGGAAGACTGTTGCAATGTGACTGTGAAGGAGGAGAGACAGGACAGCTGATGTGACTTCGGAGTAAAACCAAAGTAACCTCGTGGAGAAGAAGAAGAAGAAGAAGAAGAAGAGGAGGAGAAGATAAGGAGGAGAAGAGGGAGCATCAGATGATCATTTGCAGTGTCGCTTTGTTGTGTTTGAGGAGCAGATCTGATCTGGATGATGGGCTGCTGTCTGTTTGTTTACTATCGGGTGAGTTTGTGCGTCTGTGTCAGTGATGAAAACAGATAAACGGAGAGGACTCAAACATGTTTCAGGATCATACAAAGATAAGAACTCCAACTCTGCACAGTCACCCTCTTCTTGTTAAAGTATGTGTTTTGCAGGAGAAGGAGACGTATCCATTCTTTGCATTTTTAAAACTTAATTTTTAAAACACAGTTTGAGGGTTACTGATGTACAACATGCATTTGCTCTTTAAAGGCGGGCACGTTTTTTGCAACATGACCTCCCCTCTCAGTCCTTCTCCAGTCAGCTCCAGCATCGTTTAACCTCGGTTTCAATGTGCGTCTGTCCACATTTCATTGTACGTAAGCTACGTCAGCGTTTTTGAAACTTTGAGTTGTTTTAAAATGATAAAATCTTGATTACTTTAAAGATCAATCTTCAAGTCTTAAGTCATATTTTCAACCAAAAGCTGCCACAAGTGAGAGAGAGAGAGAGAGAGAGAGAGAGAGAGAAAGAGAGAGAGAGAGAGAGAGCGAGCAGCAATGGTCCATTCAGATTCACAGGTCAGCAAACATTTGTGTCTCTTAAAGATGCAAAAGTTACGATTATGTCTCTTACCCACAGAGAGCAAAGGACGGGACGCCGTCTGAAGCGTTTCCAATGTATTTGTTGCTCTTTAGACACACGCTCCACAGTTCCCACACCGGGCTTTGATCAGGAAGTTCAACAGTATAAATGTGTAGCATAGCAGCAGTCGAGTTGTCATCTGCCTTTGAATATCACCATAAGCTAGAGGGATAGCGTGCATCACATTTGTACCAGAAGTAAACTGCAGAGTTTGTAAAATACAATACTTTATTGTCCCCCAGGGGGAAATGTGTTCTCACAGCTTTGCACAGTTTGTACAAATGAAGAAAACATAGAACAAAGAAGGGGCCAGTCAGCGTGGCAGCTTTTTTAGAGCTTCAATCGCTGAGCTCTTTTTGAAGCGTGCCCTCTTCCAGGTCAGGGTTCTGTATCTCCGACCCGATGGCAGACTGATGTCCATGTTTTCACCCTTTGACTTACAACTACTTTGCTAGTTTGCAAGCTCAACAGGAAGAAGGTGTAATAGTAACTAGCTAAAAGGGGGCATATCACCACCTTCCATGGACATACTCAGTAAATCAATTCCCCATCAGTGCATGTGGCAAGCAGCAACCTCTGGTTTTGAATAATGAAGCCAATGCAGAAGTGCAAAATCCTGCAGCTCATCGAGTGTCCGCTTGAGGCTGACTGCAGAAGCACCTGAAGTCACAGACACATCACATTCAAAATATCCTGTTTTTACAACATGCTTACAGCCTGGTAAAAAAAAAAATAGGTCTGATTAGCTCATGTTCTGATTGACATAAATTGTACGGAGGGTGAATTTTCTGATAACTCATCAGTTTTTATTTTTTGAAGGGTAAGTTATTCACAATAAGACGTGATTGACAGGCGTAGTGGCACAGTTAGCTTAAAACCCGCCTCAGCTCTTAGCCTGTCGTTAAGTTGACTGATGGCATCAACCATCAACTGGCTTCAAAAGCCCCCTGCTGAAAATGATTTTTGATGTCACTCAGGCTTCGTCCATGTGTATTTACAGTCTGTAGTTCTAGGGGTGTTATTGGGTGGGGCGGGGTTGCTCCCTGAACTGTTAGTCAGCCAATCACAGGGCTGACATACAGAGACAGACAACCAGCCACACTCACATTCACACCTACGGTCAATTTTAGAGTCACCAGTTAACCTAGCGAGCATGTCTTTGGACTGTGGGAGGAAGCCGGAGTACCTGGAGAGACTCTGCATGCACGAGGAGAACATGCAAACTCCACACAGAGAGGCTCCTGTCAGACGGGGATTCAAACCAGGAACCTCCTCAGCTTTAACCACTGCAGCACCTTGCAGCTGTTTCCCCGTCTTATTGCTAATTAAGCTAATCGTCTGCAGCTTACTGTTCAGCAAACACATTAAGCATGCACAAGAGTTGCATGTTGTCGACTCAATCAAACTTTTTGATGAAAATTCTTCACATTTTAAGCAATTTAACGCCCTCTGTGCTACAGTGATTTACTTAAGAAGGAGGATATCTGTTTAAAATCAAAATATTGAGAGATAATGGTGTTGTGTTTAGATAACAGACCTTATATGGTCAAGAGAAGCAGACTCCACCTCCTCTGTCCTTTTTGTTGTTTCCATAGTGACAGTGAGTTAAAGGTAAAGTCCGCAGGTTATATAACGTCCGGCCAACAACAAAGTCTCAACACAATACTGAACAAACAGCACACTTCCTGCTATTGTTACACGCTGCTACACTGCTCCCAACATCCTCCTCCTCCGCCCTCCTCTTTTTCCTCCCACTGCTCCTCTCCCTCCTCACCCCCCCCTCTTTTCCCGTCTCTCCCTCTCCCACTCCTCTCCTTGTCTCCTCTCCTGCTCCCCTCTGTCTCTCCCTCTCTTTCTCCTGCCTTTCACTCTCCTTCTACTCCTGATCCATGTATCCCGTCTCCTCGTCTCCTCTCCCCTCCTCCCTCAACTCCTTCCCATTCTCTTCTCCTCCTGCTCCTGCACCTCTGCAGCCTTATTCTCCCCTTCCTTCTCCCCCTTTCACCCTCTTTCTCTGGCTCCATGTCTCCCCCCCTCACCCCTTTCCCTCTCCAACTTTCCTACTCCTTCCCTTCCTCTCCTTGTCCTGCTCCTCTCCCCTTTTCTTCCTCATCCTCCTTATCCTCCTACTTCTTCTCCTCTTCCTTGGTGTCTCCCCTCTCCTCCTGCTCCCCCAACCCTTTTTTTCTACCCTTTTCTCCTCGTTCCATTTTGCCTCTCCTCATTTCTTCTCCCCCCTCTTTTTTATCCTTCCCTCCCCTCTGCTCTTTTCTTGACTCCTTGTCCTATCTCCTCCTTTCCTTCGTCTCCTGTTTTCTCTCTCTCTCTCTCTCTCTCTCTCTCTCTTTCTCCCTCCCGCCTAAACTCCCCTCCTTCTCTTCGTCTCCATCCTTTCCTCTCTCTTATCTCAACCCTCCTCCCCCTCCCCCCTCTTCCTTCTGATACAGCTGTTTGCCCTCATTGACCCGACTCATCAGGTGTGATTTCCATCTGTTTCTGTCGTCATGGCAGCGTACTGTTTGTTTGTTTCTCACGTATATCTGCACCTGAACAACAATGCACAGCAGTTTTCTTTAGTTATAATGAGAAACCATTGACAGGGACCTCCTCATACACAGAACATGTTTACAACGTTTAAAAGTTAATCAGAATAAACATTAAAATCCAATATCAGAAATTTGACTCTTTTAGTGACCCTGCAAAAAAATCCCCCCCCAAAATCTTAAGACTGCAGCCAAAAATCATTGTGAGCTGCGGATCTATTGTCCTTACTCGTGCCAGAGGTTATATTTATATAACAATTAGGCCTGCTAGTGGTGAGATTTAAATTAATGTGGCCTGCCTGGTTATCAAAGATGAAAATCAATACTTCATGTTACTAAATGAATGAGCTTTAAAGCTGTTCAAACACAGAAGACATGAGCAGGAAGCTGCAGATTCTCTGTTGACTGTCACAGAGTTTATTAATAAATAAAAAACTTTTGCATTCTATTTTAAGTCTTGTATTCGGTCTGGTATCAAACCATCATTTACAGTAATGGTGCAGTCATAGGCTGAAACTGGACCTGATGAATCACATTATGTGTTTTCTATCTTACGCAATGTTCGCTGTGTTTGTGTGTTACAGAAGAAGAGGAAGCAGGCCAGTAGAGATGCAGACTCCCTCAGCCTCTGCAGTCTGGACATCAATGTGAGTTCATCTCCTCTCATTGTTTCTTTCTTTTGTGTTCAATCTGAAAGTTGGTGGATTCTGTTCGACATTCAATAAGTGGTGAAATGTGTCTGAGAAGCTCAACCTGAAGAGCTGTTGAGTTTGACTTAAACCAGGCTGAACACTTCCTGTTTGTGTGATTCATTTCATGTGTACACTTTCACACTATGACCTAAAAAAATGAAAACATAATCATTTCTAAGCTGTAGATTTCGTTAAATTATTTCTCTCCTGTTGGATTAAGCGTTTCTGGTCAGGAAGTGATTCTGCTCTGTTGTGTTTTTAACCTGCTACCCGTCCATGTAGAAGTCTGCAGAGACCTAATTTAACCCAGTAATAAGCTACTGATGGGTCCATGGGACCTAGTTTTAGACTCATGTTTTGGTCAATGCAACAAATAAAAGCCATATGCACCTTTTCCCTCTGGATACACTGATTAATTTGTTCATATTTTGTTATTAGAGGAATCCACTAATCTGATCAGAAGAAGATCCTTTGGATTGAAACATTGCCCTTAATTAAATTGCTCACTGGGAGATGAACAGTGTGCGGACCTTCCCCTTTTTCTCTGCAGTTTATAACTTTTTTGTCCTCTACCTGTATGCAATTTGCTTGGATGTGCGCACACTAGTCTTTATTCTCTCAGGACTCCAATACTCCACATAAACAAGAAACCATTTATCAATACAATGAAAAGCAACATGAAACAGATTCAAATTCTGCACGCTTGCTAAATTCAGCTGCTCGGTCAAAAGCTGTTAGGATTCATTCACACACCTGGTTCCTACAGCTGTATGCACACCAAAGGTAAAGGCTCCACCTGGTGCCTAGTGTTGGTATTACATGCAAATGTCTCATGCAGAGATGAAATGTTTCATTCAGATAAACCAAGTTGGTAAGTGTTTAAAATGTTTGTTGCAGCAGTAAAACATTATTAGTGTTTGATGTCTAGGGTCCGACCTCATCACTCCCTGCAGATTTATTTTACATGCAGAAATCTGAGGAAAAAAATATCTTTAACCCCGCAGTCGGAGCCAGCAGGTGGATGCTGGGTCTGAAAGTTTAAACATAGCAGGAGTATGAGACGGCAATGGTGATTACAGAGTAGACGGTGACACCGGAAAATGTTGTTTAGGTTAAAACTTAAAGTTGCCTCATGGATCTATTTTGTAAACAAATATTATGTTCACATTACAAAACACAAGTCTCAGAGCTCCCCAGAACATGTGTGTGAAGTTTCTTGTTCTAAATCCACTCTGATCCTGTATTTGATCATGCCTATAAACCCCTCTATTTCAGCCCTGCTCAGAACAGGCTGTTTCTGTGTCTGTACCTTTAAATATGTAAATGAGCTGTGTCTGACCACGCCCCCTCTCTAGAAGGGCTTGGGTGTCTCAAGCTTTCTTGCTCCATGCCCTATTGTTTAGGGGGAGAAGGCAGACTCAGAGGGCAGAACAAACACCTAGCTGTGGGAGTGTCACCCACCTGGGGCAGGGGCTACTGCCCTTTGTGATGTCATGAAGGGAAAATCTCCAAACGGCCTGTTTGAGCACACATTTTCTGAAAAGTGGAGCAGGCAAAAGAAGGAGAGGATGGATTTTTCTCGTCATTGGAGATTTAAACAGACAAGGGATGCATATTAGAGTTAGAGAAACATGGTGAAGTGTGTTTTGTGTAATATGTGACCTTTAAATGTATCCTTGAAGTTTAACAAATGGATTGAATATATTTATTTTCTCATCAAACGTCTGCACAGTCGAGTTTTTTCTTTATACATTTTTAGCTTTTAAAATTATCATAATTCTCTTTTTAAAGTCTCTGTTTATGCCTAGGAGTTTCTCTACATTCATACTAACATTGAAAAAATTCAATAAATTTCAGAAAGTTCATATTTACATTTTCTGCATTAGAAGGGCAGACAGCTGACAGGCAGCAGGACAGTTACTGAGCTGTGCGCATTGTTTCCTCCTGCATTCACTGAAGATCTGTTGTATATATTCTGACCCTTTGGGGGCCCTCAGACCTTGTGTTGGGCCACTCCTTGTGTACATTTGTGTATTTTTAGCGTGCTGCCAGTGGCCCGCTCCTTCCCCGGGCGTTCCCCTCCCTGCTGGGTCTAACACAGGATGTCCACCCTGTTCGATACACCGGTGTGACAAATAAACCCAAACACGCCATCAATCTTATTCAGAGACTGGACCAAAACTGAACCTGGAATAAATTACACTCAATTGTTTCTGTGCTGTCACTCCTCAGTGACTCACACACACACACACACACACACACACACACACACTCACACACACACACACACACAGGGTGGGGTTCGATTAAAGAGTCTGACTGAAAGGCTGAAAACAAAGTGTCATTTTATTTCATTTTATTACAAAATTAAATGTCTCTACTTGTTATGTTAGTGTTTTTTAAGGTTGTTACTTGTTTGTTTATCCTGTAAATATTTAAGAAGAACAATTTGGCATAACTACCTACACCCTTTGACCCTGTGACCCTGTGACCCTGTGACCAAAGCACTGTAGATTCAAACTTTATATTCATGATTGAAGAAGATGAATTGAAAGTGAAATTGACCACAAAGTTGTTTTTTTTGTGATTGTTGTAGTTGTAGTAGTTGGTATTGTAGTCATTGTTGCTTTATCACTCTTGTTCTTTTATTGTTGTTGTCATGGTGATGTTGTAGTTGTCGTGGTGATGTTGATGTTGTAGTTGTGGTGGTGAGCTGTTCGTTTATGGCTGATTAATCAGATTCATATAACTATTGAACATGGGAAACACACACACATTTCATATATATTTAATAGGCCTTTAAATCCTTTGAGTAGTTTCTGATATCAGCAGTTTTTACTATTATTGTTAGTGACATTGTTACTGTAACATAAGGGCGGCTGTGGCTCAGTTGGTAGAGTCGGTCATCTCTCAACTGACAGGTTGAGGGTTCGATCCCCAGCTCCTGCAGCTACATGTCCAATGTGTCCTTGGGAAAGACACTTAACCCCAAGTTGCTCCCGCTGCTTCATGATTGTGTATAAATCTTTTTGCACTTGAATTGCACTTTTGGACACCTCCACTTTGCACTTTAATAACTTGGTAGGAATTCCCATCTTGGTGTGAGCTCTTGACTGATTTTATTGCCGTGTTTTATTGGGTTTTATATTTTGTTGTGTTGTCTGACCAAAAAAAAGAGTGAGTGAATAAAACATTTCTTATTAAAGTTATCAGCGAATTAGAAGAAATCAGCATCATTAAGATTCTACGATGTGAATAAAATAACACAAGTTCATTCTTCTAACAGATTTAAATTCAACAGTAAACAGAGACCGGCCGCCACTCAGAGCCACGCCTCGTTGATTGTGCTGTTTCTGCACTGAGTGGTTATAGACGTTTTCACTGGTTAATTAATTTGTGCTGAGCGCCGCGGGCTCACATGAACAGTTATTGATGTTGTTCTGTAAACCAGAGGCTAAAGGTTAGTAAACCGAGTGAGCATCAACATGTGTTTCCTTCCCCTGGTGTCTATATAGCCGCACGACCTCCAGGATAGGACGGCTGCTTCAATATTCTATGAGACGTTTAAAGTAACCTAATATTTGGATTTTAATGATGCTCTTTATGAAGCACTTAAAAAAGAAAAGTAACACAAAATGTTGTTAATGCAGAAATCAAAAAGTCAAAATAATTGCAAACTGTCTCATAATTATAAGATATGCATAACTGTTAATGAGGCCAAAGGTCAGTGCTAAGTCCAACCCTCACTGCATTTCGAGTTCCTTTTTGTCCTCATTTCCCAAAACATCATCTCCTAATTTCAGTTTCTTTCTGAGCTTCTTTCCCTTCAAATGTCCAGAGTAAACCAGCAGACAGAGGGAAGTGAAGCAGCCGTTATGGAGAGTCATTGATATATGCTAACAATGCTATAGTCTGTTTCAAGTGTTGGCAGATTAAAGGTTGACATATTAACATATTATTCAAAATCCACTTCACCATGTTTCTCTAACCCCCCAATCATGAGAAAGGTCCATCCTCTCCGTCTTTTCAGAAAATGTGTGCTCAAACAGGCTGTTTGGAGATTTTCCCTTCATGACATCACAAAGGGCAGTAACCCCTCCCCCAGGTGGGTGACACTCCCAAAGCTAGGTGTTTGTTCTGCCCTCTGAGTCTGCCTTCTCACCGTAAACAATAGGACATGGAGCGAGATAGCCCAAGCTGACCCAAGCCCTTCCGGAGAGGGGGCGTGGTCAGACACAGCTCATTTACATTTAAAGGTACAGACACAGAAACAGCCTGTTCTGAGCAGGGCTGAAATAGAGGGGTTTATAGGCATGATCAAATACAGGATCAGAGTGGAACAAGAAACTTCACACATGTTTTTGGGAGCTATGATTTTTATTTAAACTTTTAGAAAAGGAGGAGAATATGTGACCTTTAAGTTTCTTTCTAAGCTTCTTACTCAACAGGCGGGGCTTTTGATCAATGTCAGTTCAAAAAAAGGTCGGATTGATTTCTGATGAGTGTAAGGTAGTTTGAATCTATACACTGATTGGCTTTTGCCACACAGCGTCCAGAAGATTTGTGGCTCAGGTTTGAACTGTAAAGCAAATAAATCTCCCTCAACATGGGCTGGTATGCCATAAACACAGATAACGATCCGCCTGTTTATTGTTGTCCACACAGACCTTTTATACCTGCATACACAAAACCCTGTTACATACCATAACTAGATCAAAACTCCTCACAGGAGGTCAAATCACACAAACGTGGACACCCTGTACACAGCACTGTCAGTCTTTTTATCATGGTGCAGGTGATGGCAGGAAACATCATCTTGACATCAAATGTGAAGATTCACGGCAAACAAGAAGGCTGAATTACTTCTTTTTATTTAATTTCAAACTCAAACCAACTACGAGTTTCGCCCTGATGGCTTCACAGGAGCTTTTACTCATACTTGGGCACACACCCAC